TACACTCTGCCCCCAGCACCTGCTGCTGGAAGCAGCTTGTCTCTTCCTTCCCACACAGTGCTGAAAAGCAGTGAACACCTCCAGACTGCTCCTAGCCACTGACACAACCCAGCTGTCTCCTGTGCCTGGGCGGGACTGGGTTAAGTCCTAAGGCTGCATTGTGCACCAGGGCCCTGAGAACCAGGGTGCATGAAATTATCTTGAGCAAACTCAGCCAGAGAGGTACCTCAGCATGAGGGTGTGCATAGGAGATGGAGCAGCCCTGCACTCCCTGTTCTCTGCTTAGGACTCGGAGGTGTGGGGGTGGGAAGGAATGAAGTAGCATGTGAAGAAGGTTCTAAGCCTCTGCCTGGGGGCCTGCTGTGGAGCCTGCAGGGTTGGGACATGAACATGCTGGACATTTCTTTCCCTCCTACCCCCCGCCCCCCCACACACTCCAGAACTTAGCTGAAGGGTGGAGAGGCTTCCTCTTGCCTACTCTGAGGGGCTTTGGCACATGTATGGGTTGGCTCCTGGCTAGCATCCTGGGCTGGAGAGTCTTGGGCTTTCCCAGGGCTCCAGCCCAGGCAGAGGGGGAAGGAAGGAACCTGCTGGCTAGGCTGTTGGTGAGCTGAGTACTCCAACCAGATGCTGGCTGTCCGAACAGCACTGGGGATGGGATGCACCCCACCAGAAGGGATATGGAGGAGCAGTAGGACTGAGGAGTGAAGGGGCAAAGCAGGGACAGGTCAGTGAGAAGAGGAGCTCCCAAAAGGCCAACAATTAGCTGCACTCTGTTGCCCACCAACTTACCAGCTGCCACAGAGTGCAGCTAATGGCAGCTGGGAACAGGAGAAGGGGCAAGATGGCTGAGATCTGGAACAGAGCAGGGGCTATGCCGACAGACCAGCAAGGGGAGCAGCCGGTCCCCGGGCCTTGCACACCCACCCCTGCTTGTTAGCCACTGGACCCTCCCACTCACTGCTGGTGATCCAGCCAGTAGCAGGACCCAAGGTCTAGTAACAGAACTAAAGCCATTGGGTTTTCTACTGATATCTGTACAAAGAAACTGTCCCACTGAATAGCAGACCAATCACTCATCTAGTAGAAAGCTGCCTTCAGTATAAGGGGCCAGCCCTGCAAGTAGACATGGATGAAAAACCTGCTTTTTTTATTGTCTCAAAAAAACCCTCTTCATTTGAAATTTGTTTGAATTTTTTCAGAAAATTTTCAAAAAAAACTTTTAAATGCTTTTTGAAGATGGAAACCCTTCTCTTACTGAAATATTATGAATGTTTAGATCTTCCCTTGCACCCAAGTATTCCCCACTTCTGTGTTGGGGTTTTGTTCATCCTCCCTTTTTTAAACTTTTCCAACTTTTGAAAAAGCAAAAGGAACTTCATCCCTCCCCTTGTAAATATTTAAAAGCTGAGCTAATTCTGAAGTTACATAGAGAAAAAAAGGAAAGGAAAAAAATCCTTAGATTACATTTTCTCTCCTTCCTTCCGCTGAACCTCCCCATCCCAGAAAAGAAAGAGAAACACCCCAACAATGGACAATTTTTTGTTTCTTGAAAAAAATGAGGATTTCAGTAAAAAATGAAATGTTTTGCTTAGCTTTGAAATTTTCTATCAAAATATTTTGATGAACATAACATTTTTCTATTATACACTTTACATTTTAGCAACCCAATTTTTTTACTAGAAAAATTTGTAGCTAAAAAAAAATTGAACAGCTCCCCCTGTAAAGAGAAAACTACTTCCTGCAAGGTCTTAAATGTCTTCTATATCCCACGATTTAAGTGTTCAACCCATTTCAAGACTATGCACAAAATTAAAAACACAAGGCACAAAATAATTGAGGAATATTCAGTAAAGCCACTTGCTGTCTCTTCGCTGCTTACAATGCCTTCACCACCCTCTCCAGCTACTCACTTGTTTTCTGTCCATCTCTGGTTCCTTGCTGAGGAAAGGGAATGAAGCAACCTCTTGAGCGTATCACAAGAACACTGTCCTCTTTCTGAATCTGGGCCAGTACCACTCCATCTAGGAAACCTAGAGTAAACATGAGACAGAGACACACAGTTACTGCAGCTACAAACAAGCAACAAACACAAAAATCCATAAGAATTATAGAAACCAACTGAAAGGGCTTTTTTAAATCAAATAAAGAAACACAAGAAATAAAGTTAAGCTCCTTACCTCCAAGCATCTCTACCTAAATCTGTCTGTTCCCCCAATATTAGCCAGCCCCTTCAGTCAGTCCAGTTGGATGCCACTTTGAAGAGGGAGGAGGTAATACTTCTCCATGGCAATTGTTAAGTATGGGACAGAGCAGAATACAGTCCCTGGCCCTCATAGTGCATGTGCAAACCTTTGCCATGGACAGCATCCATTGGAACACACCAATACCACAAACTGACACAAAACCACATTATAGCCCAGAGGAATTTTGTGTTAGTCCCACCTATCCCGCACTGGCCCTGCAATGCATGTAGAATGTGCTGCAAAAGAGAATGATTAGCGTGGCTGCGCTGAGCAGAGTCACAGCTAGCACTGGCTCAATAAAATTGCAACAGTCCCTTTCTCCAGTGCAGATAGGGCTCTGAGACACAATTTAGGGAAAGTAGCTATTCACTTGTCTGTTTTTTAAGGTATATCCAAGGCACTGATAAGAGTGCAGGGGGAAGGGCTCCAATGGGAAACATGATTATGTAGAAAAAATTATTCTCTTTTGTTCTCTCCTCACATTTTATTAAACTTTTGAATAATGTATTCATGACTTAATTTAGTGTTTATGAAAGTTTGGAGCTAAGGGTCAAAAAATCACAACAGTGTCAAGAGCCTG